ACTCCACGGGGGGGGGGAGGGTAGGGATAGACAGTGGGTAGGGATAGAGAGGAGGCGTGAGGGTACGGGGTAGAGTGTGGAGGTAGAGATAGAGAAGGTGTGTAAATACAGTAGTGGGCGATTAATATTGCTTCCTCCTCCTCTTCCTCCTCCACCTCACCTCCACCTCTTCTCCTTCTCCTCCTCCTCCTCTCCTCCTCTATTATTACCAGTTATTCATTTATCTAATTTAGCTTTATTCCACTTTTCTTCATTCTTCCTACCATTTTATTCCATTTTGTCTATCTTTTTTCTTTTTACTCTTCGGGTTGTGCTCCTGAATCATGCTAGAGATATGATTGCTTCCAGCACTTCAGAAAACGTCAAGAGAGAGAGCAGCCTGTGACCGCCCGGGTGTTCCTACAGACATACATACAAAGCCACCACCTCACCACCAGCACAGCCTCCTGGTCAATGGATTATCTCTAGATCTCCCACCCCACCCCACCGCACCCTACCCCCCACCCCCACAACCCCTCCACCCCTAGCCTCCCACCCCTACAAGTAGTGAAAAATTTCTTAAGCGACCGACAGCGATAGAATTTCTACCCAGGTAATCGGTCATGGAAGATACATTTCCCTTTGGAGTCGCGAGTCATCGGTCTGTAAACGTGATAAGTTATATCATAGTTGTCGTCGGAAAAACTTGAGGAGAAAATATGAGTTGTCGAGTCTTGCGGTGGATTAGTGATGGTATGCTGGGTTGGCTGTATGTATGTATGTATGTATGTATGTATATATGTATGTATGTATGTATGTATGTATGTATGTATGTATGTATGTATGTATGTATGTATTAACCTACAGACACCACACTGACGTTTCTTAATATATAAATCCCGGGTGCTACGTGACCTCTGTAGGAAAAGTCTAATTATTCATAAAACTATGTGAATTTAACATAACTACGTGATATTAACATAACTACGTGATATTAACAAGGAAAGCGTAATACCATATAAAACTACGTGATGTCGGTAAAAAAAAAAATCTTCACAAGAATCAAACTCGATAATCATATGACTTGGCAGAATGACATCACGTTCTGTTCATCCTCCCGAAAAATGCCAATAGTGAACCTTCTTCCCCCTCCACTCCTTCTTCTTCTCTTCCCCCTTCTACCCTTCCCTCCCCTCTCTCCCCTCCCTCGCCCCCCCCCCTCTCCTCCTCCCAGTCACCAGATTCCTCAAGTAAATAAGTTTCATTTACAAAAGATTTCCGGGATTGAGCGACGTCTATAAAAGTTTGTGGTGAGGTAGATTTGACATTTGGCCAGGCGACACAAGCTGCTTCAGAAATCTCCTCTCTCCTCTCCTCTCCTCCTCTCCTCCCTCTCTCTCCTCTCCTCTCCTCTCTCCCATTTCTTTTTTCCTACCCTTTGCCTTTCCTTCACCTTGCCTACACTCCTCTCGCCCTCCTTGCCCTTCCCTCACCCCCTTCTACCCTTTCCTTCCCCCTCTCTTTACACCCTCTCCCTTTCCCTTACCCTCCCATCATATCTCTCCCTGGATTTTTTTTTTTACGTGGGATGCTGTTTACTGACTCCGAGGAGGATGAAGTTTGGGAATAGGATTGTGGGGAACGACACACACTGGTAGAGGCTGGGATGGGAGAACAGGGTCTTAGGAGAGGCGGCAAGATTTGTTGTTTAGATTCCTGCTTTGTTTACGCCTGCAAGAGAGAGAGTATGGTTGTGTATTCAGTATTTTCTATGTTAGGTTAGGTCAGGTCAGGTTAGGTCAGGTTAGGTTAGGTCAGGGCAAGGCAGGGCAGGTCATAGTGATGTTACAGTTAAGTTTTGCAGGTAAAACGCATTTATTTTGTGGTTGTGGCGTTGGCTGCTATTTCCGGGTGACACAGCGGTAGGAGTGTTTCGTGGCATACAAGAGACAGTGAGAGAAATCTTGTTGTCAGCGTTGATAAAACCCTTCCACACCCCCCTCCCCCCCCCTCCCAGACTCTCATGGGTTTATAACATGTACAAGAGAAAAGGGAAAGTCGTATTTATATTTTTACGTAATGTCTCTTTTAGTATGAGTAACTTCACAATGGTATTTAATTCTCTAACTAAGATAAATGCTCTTTAATGAATCCCGGATATAATAGAGTCACTGTCGTCACCTTTTCAGTGTTATAGAGAAGTTGAATGGGAAAGTAAACACAGATTGTAATTTTATTTTGAGATCTATTAAATATTTCCGTGGTTTCCTGTTCAGAAACCACTAGGTACTTAGCTTTCCACCCCTGCACGCACACCGCACGCTCTCTCGATGTCTATCCTCTTTACATATATTACGTCCAGAGTCTAGTAATACCTCGAACACACTGCACTACAACACCTTCAGGTTATTCTTGCAGCAGACAGACACCTTCAGTAGTAACCTTCAAATGTAGGGTTGTGTCGGCTGTGTTTCCCTGCAAGAAATTCATCACTGTTATCCCATACTCTTGGTTGTGTTGGCCACGGCGGTGTAGTTTGTGTTGGTATAATTTATCACAGTCTTGGGGGTGATTAATGTACATAGGATATAATGGGGGGGGGTTACTGGAACACTGCATAACTAACGAGCAATTAATGCGAAGACCTGCAGGACTTGACTGATGCTCCGGGGATAAACACGGGAGAGTCAATATGAGGTTTAATGATGCCTGATGTAATGATATATTGTGCCATGAGTAATTATACTGGCCACACACAGGGTAGAGAGTACGTGTTGTGAGGTGGAGAGTACATGTTATGACGAAGAGTACATGCTGTAAGGAAGAGAGTACATTTCGGACAAGCATTAGACATACTAAGATTCAAACCCTTAAAAAAAAAGTATCAGAACTTTTTATTTTTTTCTCCAATGACAAATCATTATATATTCGTAAAACAATATACAGTACAAATTCTGGCTATGAAAAAAATATAACCATTAATTCACAATATTCTGATGTGATTTATATATCATCAACATTCTATCAGTTTCAGTCCAATATAAATCTGGTGTGACGTGAAATCTGTTAATATCTGAATCTGACATGTAACTCAGCTTCAATGAGGTGGGGATCGACCCTATTTGACTTCTGCAATATTGTATCTCATTCCACAGTTGATGCTTGTGACATGTAGGTACCGGGGGTGTAGGTCAGGTGATATATATATTGTGTATGTTTGTTTGTATGTTAATTGTATCGTAAATAGGTACTTTGGGGGTGCTGGTGAATGTTTACGATAGTCCGGGGTTCTGGTGAATGTGTTGTGTGTTTACTATGGTCCCTGGTGCTGGTGAATGTTTATTATGGTCTCTGGTACTGGTGAATGTTTATTATGGTCTCTGGTACTGGTGAATGCTTCTCTGTTTACTATGGTCCCTGGTACTGGTGAATGTTTACTCTGGTCCCTGGTACTGGTGAATGCTTCTATGTTTACTATGGTCCCTGGTACTGGTGAATGCTTCTATGTTTACTATAGTCCCTGGTACTGGTGAATATTTTTATGCACCTTTACTGACCACTACACACACACAGCACATAACGCCTCATAATACTGAAACACAATAACAAAGTCTTCAAAATAAAACACTCGTGAAAAATTATGCCACCTTGAAAATGAACTAATATTCCCTACACGAGTGACTAATACCCAACCTTACCATCACAGGAGACTAGATTTTTCCCCTTAAGAATGTGTCATTTGTTGGTAGTATTCGTTTTATCCCGTAGCTCAAGAGGGCAGTGATGTTACATGCTCTCTCCAATCTAGTGTCACCCATTCATGTCTTGAGATAGCGTTTTCTTCCTCTATTCAATGGTGATTTATCTCCTCGCCTGCTTCATTTCCTTGTTTGTTACGTCGTCTCTGTCTCCTTTATCTGTGTTTTGTTTCTCTCGTAAAGTCTGGATTGCTGATGTTGTGAACGAACCCTGTTTGTTTTGACTGTGTGTGGGGGTCTCTCTCTCTCTCTCTCTCTCTCTCTCTCTCTCTCTCTCTCTCTCTCTCTCTCTCTCTCTCTCTCTCTCTCTCTCTCTCTCTCTCTCTCTCTCTCTCTCTCTCTCTCTCTCTCTCTCTCTCTCTCTCTCTCATTGGCTAGTGAGTCAACCAATCAGAGAAGTCATTTACTTTTGGATACGTATTCTTGTCATATATTTCCTCTCATTGGTTAGTGAATCAACCAATCAGAGACGTCGTTTTGGTTAGTGAATCAACCAATCAGAGACGTCGTTTTTCTTGTCTATGTGTTCGTGTGTCAGCAGTGTCAGTTTAGTTTACTCTTGGTTCATGGTGTTGATGCAGACTAAGTTGGTTTACCCCGAGTCCAGGTGTTCTGAATACTGATTTAGTCTGGGTCCTGTAAACTAATACTGATCTGGTTTGCTTATAGGTAGACTGAGGCTTTTGGTCTGGTATAATCGTTGAGGTGTAAACTGCAGGTATTCTTTAATTAGTTTTGCTGATTAGGTGAGGCTTGGTTAGGTTGGGCTGGGTTTAGGTTAGGTTAGGTTAGGCTAGGTTAGTGTGGGCTGGATTAAATTGGATTAGGTTAGGTTAGATTAGGCTAGGGTGGGTTGGATTAGGTTAGGTTAGATTAGGCTAGGGTGGGTTGGATTAGGTTAGGTTAGATTAGGCTAGGGTGGGTTGGATTAGGTTAGGCCAGGAGATTAGCTTGTGGCTCGATTAGAAGAAGAAGTTGTGGGTGGGCTGGGATTAGTTAGGCCAGATTAGGCTAGGTGGGCCGGGATTGACAGGCCAGGCCAGATTAGCTAGGGTGGGTTGGATTAGGTTAGGTTAGATTAGGCTAGGGTGGGTTGGATTAGGTTAGGTTAGATTAGGCTAGGGTGGGTTGGATTAGGTTAGGTTAGATTAGGCTAGGGTGGGTTGGATTAGGTTAGGTTAGGTTATGCTATCATACGGTTCAATAAAACACAATATGGTTAGATCCAAACTTCTTTAACAGAAAATTTATTCTCATACCGGATACACTCTGCTGAACATTTATTTTAAAATATATATATATATGTGCCCACTTCTCTTATAGCTATATGTTAGTTACTCGTTTATTATAAAATAGCAAATACTCATAGCAAAAGTCAAGTAGATGATATGGGCCTGGGATTACCTGGAGATTAGACACCCTTGATTATTTTACCTGATGATTAAACAATCTAACGTTACCTGGGGAGTTAGGTTAGGTTTTAGTATTAGGTTATGCCACGTATGCTTGGTTAGGTTAGGTTGGGTTAGCGTTAGGGAGTTTAATCATCAAGTGAAATAAGATGGGGTGCTTGATGTTCAGGTGATCCCATTTAAAGTTATATGTAAAATAAATACTTAGAACTTCGGATAAAATGGCTGACCTTTCTCTGGGTCTGATGTCACCAATAGTAAGACAAATGTTTCCTGTGGGTCAAAGGTCAGGGGGTCATAACCTGTGAGCTGGAGACTCCTACAACCTATGGTCACTCTTGTGGGTTAAAGGTCGTAACGGGAATCAGAGTTAACCACCTTTATAGTCATTAATTATGGCATCAGGGCAACAACTGTGTGTTAGTCACCAGCTGTGGGGCGAAGTTACCAGCTGAGTTGACGCTACCAGCTGGGAGTAAGCTCAAGCCACCATCTGTCAAGTCGCCTCCCTCTTACTGCCTAAAACACATTCATCTACAACATAAATAAATAATGATGAAACCTTTAATTAGTATCTTATGTGCGTTATAAACCTAGACTAATATGCAATAAAAATCATGCACACACATACACACACTCATACACATGCATTTATATATATACAGTATACATATAACAAATTTGTACAAATATACAAATTAAAACACATTAGTTATCCTTCTCTTAATACACATAATAATAGACCTATATACACAAAGGCTAGTTTTAGGTCTAGTCATAAGAGCGAATAAAAAACACAGTTAGAGCAGAACGCGGTGTTGTGATTGGTGGAGGCCAGGAGTGCCACGTTGACTGCCAAGTGGGCGAGGCCGCTGATTGGTTGGGTGGTCTTGGTCCCGCTGTCGTGGTGCATAGCTGCTGGGAACTCCTCTGTGTGGGAGAGACATGGTGTTAGTTATGGCTGTGAAGGTAGACATATATGGCTGTGAAGATAGACATATATGGCTGTGAAGATAAACATATATGGCTGTGAAGGTAGACATATGGCTGTGAAGATAGACATATATGGCTGTGAAGATAGACATATATGGCTGTGAAGGTAGAAGATATATGGCTGTGAAGGTAGACATATGGCTGTGAAGATAGACATATATGGCTGTGAAGGTAGACATATGGCTGTGAAGATAGACATATATGGCTGTGAAGATAGACATATATGGCTGTGAAGGTAGACATATGGCTGTGAAGGTAGACATATGGCTGTGAAGGTAGACATATATGGCTGTGAAGATAGACATATATGGCTGTGAAGATAGACATATATGGCTGTGAAGGTAGACATATGGCTGTGAAGATAGACATATATGGCTGTGAAGATAGACATATATGGCTGTGAAGATAAACATATATGGCTGTGAAGGTAGACATATGAATACTTTCTTATAATTTTTACTATTCAAGACCAAGAAAGTTTTCAGTCATAATTCACGAACTTCTTTTCTTTATTTTGATTCCGTCTCCTTCACCTGATGTGGGGAATGTTTGTTTATTCATTTTGTTTTTGTTTATCGTCATTTACTTTGTTTATCTTCTCGTGTTTTATTGTCCAGTATTCTTCATGTCCTCAATTCCTCTCGGGTGTAAAAAGTGTCGTTGTATTTCTTTCATTTTTTCTCTCTTATTTCCTTCGTTCAGTGTTTCTCTTCCTTGTTCAGTACGGCCCCTTAACGACACTTACAGTCTCTCATCCTTTTGTCAAGTCTGCAGCAAGAAATTTTAAGAGACCCCAATTGTCAGAACTCTCCTCCTTCTTCTCCTCTTTCTTCTCTCCTACTCTTCCTCCTCTCTTCTTCCTTCACTTGTTCCTTATCCTCTCCCCCTCTTCGCCCTACCCTCCTCCTCCTCCTCCTCCTTCCCTTTGAACTACATGTAACTAGTTTATTTTTATATAATCGTGCCTCATACACACACACACACACACACACACACACACACACACACACACACACACACACACACACACACACACACACACACACACACACACACACACACACACACACACACACACACACACACACACACACACACACACACACACACACACACACACACACACACACCAGAGGTCTTCAGGTAACACTCACCGTCGACAATAAAGACAGTGGCAGAGGCGGGATGCACGGAGTCTGGATGACAGGTGTAATTCCCAGCATCTGTGGCCGCTACCTTTACCACAGAGAGCTTGGAGGATAACAGCTGTCCCGCCTTCTCCGTGTGGATGCTAACCCCGCCCCGTGGACCAGCGATGGACATCTTGGTCTTGTTATGTAGCCAATCCACCTGTTAGGGGTTAGACATAAGGGGGAAAAAATGGTCAAAAGTTATGTAAGATCCCCTACTCTCCCCTCACCCCCCTAAACCCTACCTAACCCCACCAAACCCCCCCAATATTTGAGCAACAGCAAAATAAACCGATATGTTAACTTAGGTCAGCCATCCAGACAATCTCGTAAGTAAATATCATACCAGATGCAACACACACAGTTGATTGGTCACCTGTCCGTTGAAAGGGTTAGGTCGGGTGATCCAGGTAAGAGGCAGTATAATAATAATATATGTTTACCTGTATAACGTTAATCGATAAGGTTAATGATATACAAACACACTCGAACTCTTCTGACTGATGGAGATTTTGCCATTTCGAGGAGTATTATTGTTTGTTTAATGACATAGTGGTATTTTTTTTCTCTGGGTAATATTCGTCCCGGTAATGAGGTCGTTAAACAGGTATTGTACAGGTGTCTAGGAATCACAACAACAAATTTTATTATATTGATGACTGAAAAAAAAGTCATCATAATTTAATTCACCATTACCACAAAAAATAAATATATGAATAGTTATTTTTTCAGTTTAATTGCTTGATAATTGAACTGATATAATTACCTAATTAAAATTATAATGGAAAAGGTTCAGGAAGACAGACGTCCACTAATTATTACACAAGTCTCGTGTCTCTGTGAACTGTGGTGGTGTAAGAGGAATACGTAATGACTCACATAATGACTCAGAGACATAATGACTCAGACTTAGAGACACTAGTTGGACAATACCCTCGACACTTAAGGAACGGTAGGGGAGAAGGGTGGTGATTTTACTGTATATTTTCTCATATTTTTCTTTGTGTTAAAGATTTTGTATATTATTTATATTTTTATTTATTATTTTTTTTTAGTTTTGATGTAATGTTTTAAGAAAGGTAAAATTATTATATATAGAATGACACATATAATGGTTGCCCCTCGTGTGACCGGTCCAGGGGCCACCTAGGCGTGAATTTGTTTAAGAAGCTGTCGCCAACACAACTACCACACACCTGAGTTAACGAATTGCATGACCCAGTGTTAAGGAATAGTCCGAGAAGACCGGACAACTGCACTGGGTAACCATTACCCCGGAACACGATCTGCAAATCGACTAACATCCAGGTCCCCAATTCCTGCTGGGTAGACAGAGGCAAATGGCGTAAAGAAACTTGCCCATAATTTCACCCTGCCCGGGGATCGAACCTTGGTCCGCTCGCTTGCCAGGCGAGCATGGTGTCCATTACAGCATAGGTTTGGTGGTCTCTGACAGATGTTTTGTAGATGACTGACATGTTGCCAAGTGTCCAGGGAATTTTTTCCGCAACTGTACAATATTAGATGGATAAAACTTCGCAATTTTTCTCTTCTTCGTTCATGGGTTTAACGTTAAACCTATATTCAATATATTGTATAACGAACGGACCTAAAAATACCTCCTCCCATCCCCTCCCCTCCCCCTCCCTCAAATTGGACTTCAGCTGCTATGATTAAATCTGACGTCACAGGAGATAATCTAGATGACGTCATGGGTTAGTCCGCCGCTAAGCCCTTTTTGGGGGAATTACAAACACCGACGTCAAATACTGTATTGTAAAACGTGACCAAAGTGAATAAAAACATCAGATGAGAGAGAGAGAGAGAGAGAGAGAGAGAGAGAGAGAGAGAGAGAGAGAGAGAGAGAGAGAGAGAGAGAGAGAGAGGACACAACTTTAAGGCAGAACGGGCTAAAGTGAACGTCACTGAAGAGCTTCATTAATAATAACCTCTGATGGGTGGATAGTTGCCGTCTGTGTGTGTGTGTGTGCTCAGGGGTCATCGTATTCATGGGTTAAGTCGTCGTATATAGGGGTCAGGTCATCATATTCAGGGGTCAAGTCATCGTATTCAGGGGTCAAGTCATCGTATTCATGGGTTAAGTCGTCGTATTCATGGGTTAAGTCGTCGTATTTAGGGGTCCAGGTCATCGTATTTAAGGGTCAAGTCATCATACTCAGGGGGTTAAATCATCGAATTCAAGGATTTAATCTCCACAACTATTACATTTTGTCTCTAAACTTTATTCCAGTTTATTATGAGGGAAAAACTTTTAACGCAATTATGTAAAAAAAAAAAAAAATGGGTAACGGTAAATTTTATGCTGTGACTGAATGGCTCTTATTAAACACAACTAATAAAAAAATGTTAATTGTTTGTGGACCAATGATAACCTTTCCCGCCACCAACCCTCATCGGTGGTAGTACTGTAGGTGTAGTAGTTGAATGAGGGTGCGCCAGGTCCGTAGACTTGATATTGAGAGGTTCTTTCATAATCTACAAGGCGAAATGTTGACCAATCACACATCGCCGTTTTGATATTCTTAAGGTAGCCATGCAACCAATCACAGTACTGAGTCAAGATTTGAAAGGTTAGGTTACTGTAGGCTCAGTTATGTTTGGTTAGGTTAGGTTTGGTTAGGTTTGGTTAGGTTAGGTTAGGTTTGGTTAGGTTAGATTACAGTGGCATAACCCCCCTCCACCATGACACAAAGACAATAGCAATACTAAAACAAAAACAAAGACATATGGCATAAAGTTTGAGTTACATTACCAGGAAAAAAATACAATAATAATGTATCACTATTTAGAGAATAATGAGGCATAATGATGTGTGTTTAGACCAGCCAGGTGGAAGGGGCAGTTGCCGCACCTGGACCTCCTGCCAATTGGATGTATTTCTGATTGTTTTTGATCACCTGAAGAGTAGACACCCCAGTTTAATTCACCTGAAGATTAGACACCCCAGTTTAATTCACCTGAAGAGTAGACACCCCAGTTTAATTCACCTGAAGAGTAGACACCCCAGTTTAATTCACCTGAAGATTAGACACCCCAGTTTAATTCACCTGAAGATTAGACACCCCAGTTTAATTCACCTGAAGAGTAGACACCCAGCTTAATCTTCATACCTGGAAGATTAGGTACCCCAGTTTATTTCACCTGAAGATTAGACACACCCCAGTTTAATTCACCTGAAGAGTAGACACCCCAGTTTAATTCACCTGAAGATTAGGTACCCTAGTTTAATTCACCTGAAAATTAGACACCCCAGTTTAATTCACCTGAAGATTAGGTGCCCTAGTTTAATTCACCTGAAAATTAGACACCCCAGTTTAATTCACCTGAAGATTAACCACCCATATGCTAGTATAACCTAACCTAACCAAACCTCAAGTAAATCCAAAAGTATAACAAACTATTACTATTATCATCACGTAATAGTTCACTAATTTTATAAATGGTATCCCACTCATCATCAGTTATCCTGCGGTAACTCGGTAAACCTTTTTCACTTAACACTTACAAAGAAATGAATTAATGTTGAAATGATTTAATTAAACTGACACAGCATAATTACCCTAAGGCTGACCGGTATGATAAAAGTAATTAAGAGCTCTAAATTGTCATCTGCTCTGTGTGTGTGTGTGTGTGTGTGTGTGTGTGTGAGTGTATGTGTGTGTGTGTGTGTGTGTTCAGCATCTCATATACCCACTACCTATTTTACAGTCTTATATAACCTATACCAAAACACTATGTTGTAAATCTGGGTTTCATATTAGTCCCTATAATAAAAATGAAGTACAGGTGATTTATGAATAATTAACTAGTTGCAGGTGTCATATGGTAGCCTTTAATTAATTACAATATGAGATAATTTGTTTTAATGTGGGTGTAAAATTTATGACCTAATAATTTATGAGGTTAAACATCGTGATAATGTATTCTGGTTCATTAGTTCGATGGTTTGTTGGTTTAATGGTTTGTTGGTTTAGTGGTTTGTTGGTTTAATGGTTTGTTGGTTTAATGGTTTGTTGGTTTAATGGTTTGTTGGTTTAATGGTTTGTTGGTTTAGTGGTTTGTTGGTTTAATGGTTTGTTGGTTTAGTGGTTTGTTGGTTTAATGGTTTGTTGGTTTAGCGGTTTGTTGGTTCGGTGGTTTGTTGGTTTAGTGGTTTGTTGGTTTAGCGGTTTGTTGGTTCGGTGGTTTGTTGGTTCGGTGGTTTGTTGGTTTAGTGGTTTGTTGGTTCGATACTTTGTTAATTAGAAAGTTCATTGGATCGACGGAATAGCTGTACCTACCTTTGAACTAATGAACCTCCGGAGCAACGAATCACCGACACAGTGAACCTTGGAACGCATGAACCTCGTAATAATAGAGTAATACCCATTCATATACTTAGAATAATTGTAAATATTTTCTAAGCGTCTACGTTGATAAAATAAATTATTCTACTTCACAACAGCCACATGTAAACAGTGCCAAGCCAACCCGTTTCCCTTTAAATATTCCATTAATATAATAATTCACGGGCAGTTTATAGAGAATGGACTGGCAAAAGTTAAATGAAATATTCCAGAACTAACTACAATAACATTCACTGTAGAACGATGTTTCCTGTATCTAAAATTAAATAAATCAATTCTGATGTAATATTTATATTGACGACAAAGACTTATATAATTAGTTTAGTTTTAATCTTATTGGAAATGTATATAACAAGACTGGGGTTTAACTATGTATTATTGTAGTGAGTTGAGGGTCTGTATTTGACTACCTGTTGTGAACCTTGGAAACTCATTCGTAAGATTAAATTTGATTGTAACGTTAGATTTTGTTTTTTGTATTATGACTTCAAAAGCAAAGCTGTGCCGTAGGGAAGTGTGTGTGTGTGTGTGTGTGTGTGTGTGTGTGTGAGTTGTTATAATGCATCACTACGCTACAACAACTCACAACTCAGGTCTTATAAAGATGTAATCTAGGCTAATAAATGCACCCATCATCACCAGTTAAAAATTAATAATTACTTTGGAGTAGGAAGGAAAGGTCAGGTAGGAAGGAAAGGTCAGATAGGAAGGAAAGGTCAGGTAATAATAATAACAAAGTCTTTTTCTCTATCCAGGTAAGTGTGATTTAACAGCTCCTCGGGGGACAGGTTAA